ATCTCCTAACACTTATTTTAAAGAATATATGAGCAATGATCTCAATATAAGTCCCTAAATATTACTCTGAAGAATATATGCATGCATTACCTTGCATTTTTAAAATTCTAGAATATTACAAGCATATTCCAGAGTTATTTACTTTTCAATGTTTTCTTAGGGGGATTGGATAGCTCAGTGAATTAGGCATCTATCTGGATGTGGAGTGAGAGGTTGGAAGTTCAATTCCACACTTTGTCTCCAGGCAGAAAAGCTAGTCTGCAGAGATATGGGCAAGCTGCACAGTCCCAGGGCACCCCCAGAAGAAGGGAATGGTAAATTATTTTTTAGTACTCTCTACCTAGAAAACCATGGAAAGAGTCTCTAAGTCAGAACTGACTTGAGCGCACACCATTACAGTGGGGTCTCAACTTACGAACTTAATCCGTATTGGAAGGCAGTTCTCAGGTCGAAAAGTTCTTAAATCGAATCTGCATTTCCCATAGGAATGCATTGAAAACCATTTAATCCGTACCTGCTCTTTTCGTCCATAGAAACTAATGGGAAGCTGCTATTCCGCCTTCTGCCACTAGAGGGGGATATTTTTTTCTTTTTTTCTTTTAACCTAAGATGACTTAGCTTTTAAAAAAGGGAAAAAAAGAGTTCGTAACTCGAATCTAAGTTCGCAAGTCGAGACCATATATTCCTATGAGAGTGGGTCGTAAGTGAAACGTTCGTATGTCGAGCCGTTCGTAAGTCGAGACCCCACTGTATATACTATTGTTTTCTTACTCAGAGTTTGTTAACTTATCATATATCATATACAGTAATCTATAGCTTAAATCCAGTGTAATATTACTAGAATGAAAATCTCTGCCAACAGAGTTCCAGCAGATTATACCATTTATGCATGTGGTTGTGCAAGGAATTACACCAGGAACTACTTAAGGAATTCCTTTAGCTATACGTAGCACAAGCTCATGTTAAGTAGTTGTACAAATTTTGGAAGTTGCCCAAACACTTGTACCACCTCTCTCACGCAACAACTCTCATACTAACTCTGGAAAGTTGCAACTGTTGGTTCACTGTGTCTTGTATTGTTAGTTCAGTACATAGTTGGCTACAAGCCTAAATTGCTTATTTTAAAGTGTATAGCAAACAAGACTCATCTTTTTCCATTTATTGATTACAGCTGTTCTAGCTCCCATTGAAAGATAATGACCATTTTTATGTCCTATGATCAAGTCTTAACTTTGAGATTAAACAAGCAAATTAATGTTCTTAACAGCAAAACGTGGTTACTTCTCTAATTAAATCTGAAGTTTGTTCACTCTCTTTGATTGGGGAGATGCCCATTCCAGAATTTTATATCCCTTAGCAAACTCCACTATTTTTTACCACCTCGCTTCCTTGAACTAGTAAAAATTGGGCTGTTTTACAATAGATTGACAAGATATACAGTTATAAATTTAAGGACAGTACAAATTTAGGGGCAAAAATATTATATTTCGTTATAACATTGTAAAAGTACATAGAGTGTGTGAGTCTGTCTGGTTAAATTAAGTACAAAAGCAAACACTTGGGTTATGCATATGCTCAGAGGGACTCTTTTCCTTAATTATATGCATTCCCCCCTGCTTTTTTCTCCTGATTCTAGTTGCTGGACCTCAGGTAGCTAAGTGAAAACACAGCCTACTAGGCACTGTAGGCTTTGTACCATTCCTCTTTAGCATGAGAACAGGAAAGTCACTATAATACCATTACAATGAAAGAGCATTGTTTTTCGGGCTCTCTGGCCGTGTTCTGAAGGTTGTTGTTCCTAACGTTTTGCCAGTCTCTGTGGCCGGCATCTTCAGAGGACAGCACTCTGTGCTCTGGTGTAGTCGGCTTGGGAGTGGAGTATTTATGGCTGTGAGATAGGCTTTTGTCCCTCTCCTCCTTATCATAATAATTTCTCCTCCTTATCACAACAATACACCCACAACAAGACACACTAATCACCCATCCCCTGAATAGGACAAATCCTATCTCACAGCCATAAATATTCCACTCCCAAGCAAACTACACTAGAGCACAGAGTGCTGTCCTCTGAAGATGCCGGCCACAGAGACTGGCGAAACGTTAGGAAGAACAACCTTCAGAACACGGCCAAAGAGCCCGAAAAATCCATAACCATTAGATCCCGGCCATGAAAGCCTTAGCGAAAACAAAGGGCAAATAGTTACTGAAATATTTATCTGCCTCGCATGTACAGTATATTTATTTGATTTATATACCAGCCCATTAGTACAAACACTACCAGTTTATAGGTAAAAACTTAAAACCCCACATAACAAAATACATGAGGATGACTCCTAAGTGTCATTAGGATGCTTTCTAGCAGGTCTGATTAACATAATGAATTATATGTGACACTGCAACAAGCCACTTAAAAATATTTAGAAAATGCATATAGTATTATCTTCTCACTTCAGAATATAAATGCATATTACATAACAAAGTCAAAACAATTTCATGTCAATAGGAAAATGGTAGGCTGGATTTTTTTCCATGTTGCTTCCATTTGGCAATGAATTAATTGCAAGAAATCCATTAATACACCACCCAATCTGTATTGTATCCTTTTCTGATATGTAGAACCCTCTAGTCTGAGACAGAACAATGCTCTGTAAAATAATCTTTGTTTTGCAACTGCTTGTGAAGACGTTTATTGAACATACCTAGAACAGCTATTACCCAGTTCAACTGCACTTGTTTAAATCCACAATAAGCTGTTTTTCTAAGTTCATATTTCTGCTTCCACCTAAAAACTCTTTGGCCTCATTTTTCCCCATGATACAGAACATTTCCAACATACTGTATGTCAAATATCTGTTCTGCTTGTAAATGCTGTTCGTATGTCTTGAGCCCTGCTAAAGCAGACAAAAGACCTATCTAGGGCAGCATTCTGTTTCCCACAGTGGTCAACCAGATGCCTCTGGGAAGCATAAGCAGTCTAGGAAGGCAATACTCTCCCCCCACCACCTGCATTGCAGCAACAGGCATTGAGTGACATAAAGTCTGTGAAGCCATCAGCCAGAATGGCATTAGAAAAATTCTAATGGGTCTGCATTCTCCATTAACATCTCCATTCTACTTTAGCTCCTTTCATTCTGTGCTCTGGCCAATCATTCTACTTTTGAGTCATTAGCTGATAATGATCTCTGCCATCTCATGGAATTAACCTTAATGACTTTCAGTTCTTCATACCAGAACCAAATAAGAAAATAAACAACAGTAATAATACTGAACATGCATCCCATGGAAGTTAATGTTAAAACCAATTTGTGTTTAATAATTTATTAATTTTTCTTCTTAAATGATACATTCTTTAGCATGATTCAAATAATTTTCTGGTAGTTTTAGAATTACAGTATCTGTATTCTGAAAAACATAGAAATGATTACAGACTAAAATGCACACCTTACATAAACATTTAAATAGAACATTTGTATTCAAAAGTCATTCTACACACTACATTTTCATAAAAATATAAAAAATAGCTCCATAGTTAATTGATACTTTAACTACACTAGGATATTTAAGATTCTACCCCACATGTTCCTTCTTAAAAGACTCCCATCAATAAGAAACTAAAAGGAGACTGCATCACATATTAAAGTGACTACTTACAATTGCTAGAATTCATCACAATAGCAAGTCAAGTCACTTCTGCTAACTAGCAGAAAATGCATTGCAATGATTTTTGTTAATACATATCTTCCATTTCAGAATTCATTCTATTATATGTAATTTGTGCTATGCAAAAAAGAATAGTTGCCCTATATAAATGAATTTACAATTAGAGTACAATGGAAATTGCTATATGACCATAAAAATCAAATGTACCTTACAGTTAATAATTATAAAGTAAAAACAGCAAGGGGGCAATATTTAAAGATACTATTACTTTTTATTATCCAGTTCCAATGAAAATAAATTCTTTTTGCACTGAAAATAGATTTACAGGGTATTACAGTTTTTCTAAGTTCCCAAATTAGTGTATGGAAAGTAAAATAAAGAGTTCAAACTCCCTCAATTTATAACCCTCATTAGAACACATTTAATTTTATGAAAAGGCACAAAAGATGAAACATATCAGTTGCAACAATTAACACTACAGTTTCTACACAGTGCAAATGCAGATTAGGGGATGGTATTTTGAGCTCTGAATAGGCCTTGTTAAAAAGATTAAAGCATTTGGCCTTACTCCAGAGATTCTGATACATAATAGGGAGAGTCACATAGGTAGCTGTGCACAAGGATCTCCCACTACTCAACAGATGGCAGACAAGATTAGTGTTGGACAGTGCTGTTTACTGGTTGATGAGCAGAGAGGTTCTTAGAATCGGCCTCTGTCTAGCTCAAATGATGGCTGAAACTTTAAGAATTGACAGTATGTCTATACCAGCATGTTTATATCTTTTGGAGAACCTTACATATAGTAATCTGGCCTGTATGAAGCTAGGATCTCTGTACAGTTATTTTGCATATGCAGAACCAAATCCAGAATAGTAATTTATGAACACACACCTGTCTCAATCTCCTGAACAGCTCCACTCGACTGGTCTAAATGTCTGATGTATAAAAAAGATACTGATTTTTCAGTACTAACAGAAACATGAACACTGCCACTACTGTTTGACTCCAAAATGACATTTGAGAAATCAAACCTCTCTGCACTTCAGGCAGTATCATCCCTTCTTTATCTGTCAGTAAAGATTAAATATGGCTTTGGACATCAGCCAAGTGAAATAAAAGTTTATATTGTTCTGCTTCCATCCTGCTTACAATGTGAAGCCGGTATAAACAGATGATTGCTATATGACATGTTACAAGATAGTAGCTGAAAGAAATGTGTTTTGCTTTCTGGCGTGTAAACATCAGGGTGACTGGACCTTTGCTCATATAAACATTTGAGAGACTTCTTTAAAAACTAAGAACGAAAGTAGCATTTCCTATTAAATAATAATCCACAAAAATACTCTTTCAATAAGGTTTACTTGCCATTTAACAGCTGATGTCTTATGAACTACTATGTAAAACACATACAGTTTCTCAGTTGTAAAAATTGATCGCTTAAATTTTATTTGGCCATTATGCATTTTAAATAGTATTTAGCGTTCATCAGTGCCACAGTCCTAACATGGAACCAAATTGTTTTTCTTCTTCTTTTTCTTTGGTGGCTCATCATCTGTGCTGCTGTCTGTGCTGCTGCTGCTACTAGAGGAACTAGAATCTGTCTCAAAGTCAGAAGAACTGGAAGAACTACTTGACGAGGGAGAGGAGGAGGAACTGGAAGTGCTTTCATCACTGTCACTGTCATCAGAAGAAGAGGATGAGGAATCTTCACTCTCAGATGAAGACTCGCTAGCTGAACTGAGGCTGCTGCTACTGCTGGAACTCGTCACACTTTTAGACCTGCACAAAAATAGTTTTAAAAGGACCAGGAGATGTTATTTAAGGTCACTATACCAATCAGCGGTTACAAGGTCTACTAAAAAATCTCATTACAAACGAATTTCCAAACATTTCCTGCCAAGATATTCAGGCACCCAGTTGTAAGGCTGACATTCTGAGATACAACCATACAATAAATTATGGTGTCTGCACATTTGGTAGAGGAAAGAGTTGGGGGGAGGAACATCAGACTCTTTAATTACAAAATTTTAGCCCCACGGAAACATACACTAAAATCTCATTCAACTACAGTGGTGCTTCGCACAACGAGTGCCTCACACAACGATGAATTCACATAACGATGTCTTTTTCTGATCAATTTGCTGCCTCACACAGCGATGTTTCCTATGGGGGATTTTCACATAACGATGTCCCTTTTCCCTCATTTAAAAGTGCCTTAAACTGTTAGGAAACTTTTTTAAATGCTTGGCATCGATAGTCCAGCTTGTGAAAGGTATGCAAACTTAATTTGGTGTTGTTCTGAGTCTTCGTTCATTTTTGCTGATTTTTTTAATTTTTCCTCATTGAAATGTATCGGACGGTCCGTCCAATACATTTCAATGGAGAAAACAAAAAAATCAGCAAAAATGAACGAAGACTCAGAACAACACCAAATTAAGTTTGCATACCTTTCACAAGCTGGACTATCGATGCCAAGCATTTAAAAAAGTTTCCTAACAGTTTAAGGCACTTTTAAATGAGGGAAAAGAGACATCGGAATGCCATTGAAATGTATTGAGTCGGCTTCAATACATTCCAATATAGGAAACATTGTTTCACTCAACGATGTTTCCTATGGGGATTTTCACTGAACGATGGCAATCCGTTCCAATTGGAACGGATTAACCGGTTTTCAATGCATTCCTATGGGAAATGGTGCTTTACAGAACGATGTTTTCACACAACGTTGACTTTTTTGGAACCAATTAACATCGTTGTATGAGGCACCACTGTATAATATGAAGTTCTAGCTTCTTGCTATGTAAACAAGCTACAGGAACCATGAGGTTACGCACTCTCCTATTTTTCATGCACACAGGAGGAAAATGGGCCCTTTTTGGTTCTAGTTTAAAAACAAAAAGGATGTCACACTGCAGAAAACTGATTTAATTTGATTCAAAAGCACATATTCCAATCTCTATCCATGTTAAAGGAAGGAAAGAGGAACACAAGTTTGATGCCAATTCTGCATGCTCACATTCAGGGGAAAACAATGATCTCCCAATTATGTCTGAATTATGTCTAAGTGTCCTGCAATCCTTTTGAAAAAGAAATATTGTCAAGCCTACATGAATAATATTAAATATATATATATTTTAAAAAATTACATTATGAACCAATTAGGTATAAGGAAGCATACATATTCTGCTTTAGAATTCTGTATATTTTTTAAAAAAAGGTAATCTATACAAAACAACAGGTACCCAGGAATACAAACAGGAATGAATCTATTCATGTTCGCTGAATGGCATAGATGTATGGCACATGAACTAACACATATGAAACTCCTGCACCAAGATAACAGAGAAAAAAATTAAAAACAGGAATAGATCATCATGCTGAAACAATTAGATATTTAAAGGCCTTCCAAAAGAAGCTAAATGTTAAGCCTGATCTGAACTGGAAAGATATACTGATGTCTAAGCCATACATGTCTGTTTCATTACTCAAACTGCGTTTTTCAAAGAATCAATGCAATAGAAGGGCAGTTTGTTGTGTTTTTCAGATTTCTTGAAATACCTTTTTTTCTTGCTCTTCCTCTCTGTAGCTGATTCTCCAGAGCTGGTTGGAAAGGGGAGGGGAAGGAAAAATATTTTAATTAATTTGGCCAAAAAAAGTTTTAAAAATGTGAGATGTTTTGTGAAGCTTTTGCTTACAATGGAAAGAAGTCCTCTTCCTAGCACGAAATAAAATCAACAGAAGGTATAAACTGCAAATATCTAGGTGCTGAGTTAATGTGTCATTTTCTCTCCTAGGAGACAAACATTTTCCTATAAGCCACTCTGGGAATTAAATAAAATACTTATCTGATAAATATTTCTGAAAGTTGGTCTTGAAAGAGCTCCAAAATGATAAGAGGTAGAAGCATGACATTTTGCAAGGATACTGCCGATCTTTCCTATTTAAGGAACTGGATAGGTTACATCTCAGATTCTGTTCACTGAGCCCCTTCTGTTTGTTTGCCCTAAGACAGCGGTCCCCAGCTTTTTTAACCCAGTGGGGGAAGGCAGGGCAACCCCTGCGCTCATGTGCATGCGCGAAGGAGTGGGTACTCGCATGGGTGCTCATGCATATGCACGAAGGAGTGGGAGGGTGCTTGTGCAGGCGTGCTTGCGTGCGTGCATGAAGGGCAGCGTGGTGCTCAGGGGCACTTGTGTGCCTGTGGAAAGGGGTAGGGGAGCACTCAAGTGGGCACAGGCCCGTGCGCGCAGGCGCAAAGGGGCTGTGTAGAAGGGAGTGTGGGCAGGAAGTCTGTCTCCATGGCCCGCTCAGGCTACGAACCAGCACTGGGCCAGGGGTAGGGGACCTCTGCCCTAAGACATATCCAGAACTGCAAGAGCTACAGAAGCTGACAACAGAAGTCTGAATGGCTAATGCAGTTTCCCTAACTTAAATAGATTGATTATATCTCAATATCAGCCCATAGATAACTAGCTTTTAGTAGCATCCCTTCATTTGCTTTTGCTGGATTCTTCTGTTAAGCTAGTACAAGCTGAATGTGTGGTGGTGATTGGGAGATATAAGAGTGGAAGAAGGAATTTGGGAAGAGAGGACAAAGGCAGCAGTGGTGAGTGAAGGTGGAAGTCATGCATTTTTAACCTGAGTGAAACTGAATGGAACTGAATAAAGTTTTTACTATTCAGTTTTTAAAATGTTTTATGATTGATTATTTTATTTTAGTATTTTATTGATACTGTACTGTAAGCTCTCATGGTTACCATATACATATTGTTATTAAATAGAGTGATGCCCCGCTTAACGATTACCCCGCTCTACGACGAATCCGCTTAACAGTTAGGTTTTTGCGATCGCAAAACAATGCCTAGATAGTAAAAAACCACTTTACAATGAACTGATTGGGAACCGATTTTTCGCATTACGACAATCAAAAGAGCTGATCGTCGGGTTTCCAAAATGGCCACCCACTGTGCAAAATGGCTCCCCACTGTGTTACAGACGGATGCTTTGCTCTACAGGGAGCAGAAAATGGCCACCCTATGGAGGACCTTTGCTGGACGAGCAGGTATTTTGCCCACTGGAACGCATTGAACAGTCTTCAATTCATTTCAATGGGTTTTTTTATTTCGCTTGACGACGATATCAATCTACAGCGATTTCACTGGAACGTCATCAAGCGAGGCACCACTGTAAATAAAACTGTTTCTATAATGATGATGACCATGTTGTTAAGTCAATTCTGACTTATGGTGGCCCTTTTCAGGGTTTTCTAGAGTACTCAGAAGTGGTTGACCCTTCCCTCCTTCGGGGGGGGCGCCCTGGGATGGTGCAGCTTGCCCAAGGCCTGCTCTACTTGCAGGAGACACAGTGGGGAATCAAACTCTCAACCTGGCTTACCTTCACATAGAAGTAAATATTATGACTTCTCACATTTTAAGAAACACAAGGAACATCAAATGAAGTAGTGGAAGTGTAGAACACATTACATTCCTGTCAGGATGGTTGACATACTTTCAAAACAACTTCTCATACTTGATTCATACATCTGCTGGTGTACAAAACTGTTAGGGTACTTGAGGGACATGCCTTTTTCTTATCATTTAAGCCAGTGTCTGGACTTGTGCAGAGATGTTTGTTGCATAGATCTGAGATCCATTTAGAGAATATCAGGAATAGGGCCTTTGGTGTCTGTCCCCATTTTATGGAATTCCTTTCCAACCAAGATTAGGTCATGTGCCTCTATAGGTTCTTGCAGAAAACTCTGTTTTAGACAATCATTTTCTAATGGATAAATTCTAGCCACATATTTATTATGTACTTCTACTGTAAACATCTTGATATGGTTGTTTTAATTTACTATACACTATTTCAGTTTAATAAATTGTTTAAATATAACAGTTGCCACATCATCTTTGCACATGTATTGCACTGCAGTCAATAAAAGTACAATTTGGATGGGTTGTTGTTTAAATGTTAGCTCAGCTATAAATTTACCAGGTGGCAATGGCTTCCTGCTGTTCCTTCTGACAGCAGCGCATTTGGACACAGTGATAACGCTAGGGTGTCACTAAGGATTGCTGAAATGCTCTAAAATTTGCTGTTATGGTAGATAATAAGGTACATTATACACAACTGTATGAAGAAAGTTAAAGTTAGATTTTAAAAATGTATAAATATACAAAGTAATGAATAAATCCTTGCACAGTTTATAAAAAGCTATTGACAGAAAATAGCAAAAGCCTGATTTTATTACACTGTGACTTGGAACAATGTTTAATACATAATACCAACATCCTCTTAGAACTGCAGAAGGAACCCTATGGATCATCAATTCCAGCCATATCAATGAGGCACAATGGGGGGAATCAAATTCCCAACCTCTGGCTCCACAGCCAGATATCTAAACCACTGAGCTATCCAGCAGTTCATAAGGAAATGACCAAAGCAACAAAGCTGTGTAAAAGCAAGGACATCAAAGCTCATCAATTTCAACTGGTATAGATGCATCTAACTTTGCATAGGATTGGACTATCCAGTGGTCCCCAACCTTCTCTGAACCTCCGACTGGGGGGGCGGGGTCCGTGCTCACGGGTGGGCAGGGCGCACTCATGTAGGGACACCCGTGTGTGTGGGCAGGCAGGCGGGCCGTACGTGGAGGGAGTGCAAGGGAGGGGGAAGATCTGTCTCCACGTCCCAGTCCTGCCAAGGCCATGGACTAGCAGCAGGCTGCGGACCGGGAAGAGGGGACCCCTGGACTATACAGTATGAACAAGTAGCATTGCACAAAATACACAGAATCAAAACTAGGTCCTGCTCGCAGGCTGAAAATCTAAACTGCATGAAATAGTAGGATCTGCGCTAACACTTTCATTTGTAGTTGTGGACTTATTTTATTAGCAAGTAAATACTAGACACTGGGCAAGAGTCCCATGTCACATCTATAAAACGTCATTTCCCTAACAGAAGGGTTCAGAAACCAACAGTTTAATCATGAGCCTCAAAATCAATTTCATTACTATAAGTACTATATTTATTGGCCAGAGCTGAAATGAATATTTAAACATACTTTGGTGTGCTCTGGAGCAACAAATCACCACTAATTAACAAATTCCCAATTGAATTCCCAGTAGCTCACCAGTTGTGTGATTGATTCAACATGCGACTAGGAATTCAGATGACTGTTATTATAACTCAAAGCAGAGCTGTTAACTCATTAGTTAACAGCTCTGCTTTGAGTTATATAGTAACACACTCACACAAGCATAAATATTCACTTAGATTCTGACCGGTATTTTAAGAGCATGGTAATGTAAGAAACATACAATAACTACATTAAGAATAAGAAAAATAGCTTTTGACAGGTCCGTTTTCGCTATTTTAAAAGTGTCTTAAAAGGTTCAAAAACGGTTTTAAATGCTTGGGATCGTTCGTGCACCTTCTAAAACCTTGGCAAACTTAATTTGGCTTTGTTCTGAGTCTTCGTTAATTTTTGGTGAATTTTCCCCCCATTGGAAAGCATTGAACTGCAGGCTTGACAGCTGTCAAACTGACAGTTCAATGCTTTCCAATGGGGGAGAAAGAAATTCACAAAGAATTAACGAAGACTCAGAACAAAGCCAAATTAAGTTTGCCAAGGTTTTAGAAGGTGCACTACGATCCCAAGCATCTAAAACCGTTTTTGAACCTTTAAAGACACACTTAAAATTGCAAAAACGGACATCGCAAAACCATTGGAATGCACTGAATAGGCTTCAATGCATTCCAATGGGGGATACATTGTTTCACTTAGCGATGTTTCCAATGGCGATTTTCGCTTAAGGACAGTAATCCATTCCCATTGGAACGGATTAACCGGTTTTCAATGCATTCCTATGGGAAATGGTGTTTCGCTTAGCAATGTTTTCCCATAGCGATGTTTTTTTAGGAACCAATTAACATCATTAAGCGAGGCACCACTGTACAATGATATGGCAAATAGAAAGGGGGAAATGATAGGAACTGACTAAAAATACAGTGGTGCCTCGCATAGCGATTGCTCCGTTTGGAACAGCTGATAAGCGCTTCTCCGGGAGCAGCCCAAAGGCCCGCCCATCAGCTGTGGCTTTAGGCTGCTTGCGGCAAAGCGCTTCTCAGGGAGCAGCCCAAAAAAGGAGACCGTGTGTCCGGGGCTGGCTGGCTGTCAGTGGCGCGCCCCTTCCCGGCTGCCTGCCTCCGAGCCCTCGCTGGCTGGAGACAGCCACACTCCCTCCCCCTCGCTCTCACCCAGCCAAGGAGACCGGCTGTCCGGGTTTGCCTGGCTGGCTGGCTGTCAATGGCGCACCCCTTCCCGGCTGCCTGCCTCCGAGCCCTTGCGGGCTGGAGACGGCCACGCTCTCTCCCCCTCGCTCTCGCCCAGCCCCCCCAGCGAGCTTCCAAAGCCACGGTCGCTCAGCTGGGGGAAAATGCCAGCTAGGGCTTGGGAAGGACAGCGGGGGAGCCCTCCCCCACGGTCCTCACAAAGCCCGAGCCGGCATTTTCCCCCAGTTCCCGGCTGCCTGCCTCCGAGCCCTTGCGGGCTGGAGACGGCCACGCTCTCTCCCCCTCGCTCTCGCCCAGCCCCCCCAGCGAGCTTCCAAAGCCACGGTCGCTCAGCTGGGGGAAAATGCCAGCTAGGGCTTGGGAAGGACAGCGGGGGAGCCCTCCCCCACGGTCCTCACAAAGCCCGAGCCGGCATTTTCCCCCAGCTGAGCGGCGGGAACTTCTGAAGCCACTGCCGCTCAGCTGGGCGAAAATGCCAGCGGTGGCTTCGGAAGGACAGCGGGGGTCCTCCCAAAGGCCCCATTTTCGCACAGCTGATCGGCAGTTCCAAAATGGCCACCTGCTGTGTTGCCTCGCTTACCGAGGCGGCGAAAATGGCCGCCCCTATGGAGGATCTTCGCATAACGGTGAGTTTCCCCCCATAGGAATGCATTAAACAGTGTTTAATGCGTTCCTATGGAGTTTTTTGCCCCGTATAGCGACAAATCCGGATAGCGACGATTTATCCGGAACGGATTATCGTTGCTATGCGGGGCACCACTGTATTAATAAACGAAAGAGAAATAGCAACTTGCATCTGATGAAAAAACAATCTTATGAAGGCAGACCAGAAAAAAAGTAGCAGAGTTGAAACTGCAGAAAAGAGAGTAAAGCTCTTCAAATCAGAAAACTACAAAGACAATACACAAATATTTAAGTGGAAATAATAAAAGAGTAAGCCATCAAACACTGGCCAGAATCATTGTGGTAGTTCTGTAAGGTTTGTATAACTTGCTGCAGCTAATTAATGAAGTTCTGGAGCATGTCTTGATCAGATGCCAGGTCAGTCATCTGATTGTGTAACCAAGATACAACCTAGTACTTTATCAGTTGGCTATAGAAAGTTACGCAACCTTACACAAAATATAATAGGATTTTAGCCTTTTCATTTCCATGAAAGAGTACAAATACAAAGCTGGCGGTCGTGGTAGGGAATGTAGCTAGCTACTATCACACAGCGCTCCCCATATATAGCAACTTTTTAAAAAATTGTATTACAAAAGGGATAACCCAAAAGCTCTTCATGTTATATGTTAGATTATGACAAAAATAGACAGAGACAAAAAGAAATTTGCACAAACATAAGATGCAATCCAGCCAAAATAAAGCATTAGTGCAATGATCTCTTTATTTCAACTTAAGACACATGAAGTTCAATGGCACTTACTTTTAAGTGTTTGTGCAACAGATGTAACCATAAGGACTTGCACAGACTTCAGCGGTCTCCTTCTCAACCACAGTTAAGCTGATGGGCTATCGAACAGTGTGTTCTTTTCCAAAACATTATTTTACATGCAAATTCCTCCTTCTAATCACCCCATTGTCTTTATCTATGCATAATACTTTCCTAGGACATTTTAAATAAAGGATACAGAACGGCTTAAACAACAGTGGCTTCAAATACTAGTTTATGAGTTCACCCTGATTAGCTTTGACCTTTGTTAATGTCCACACAGGAGAAATGGTGGTTAAGAAGTACACAATCTATTGCCTCTAGGACAACTGGTCTGTATTCCCATCATATATTTTCTCTTACAGTTTTTAGAACTCTTAACTATGGCTGCATGAAGTAAATTTCTAGAAATCACACACAGTCTTCTGCACAGCTAATCTCACCTTTGTTGTAATAGTTGGTTCTCTTTTTCTTTAAGTGCTTTTTTTAATTCTGTTGTCCTCGATGGTCTATGCAGATATTTTCTTTTCCCTGTACATTCGTAAGTCCAGTGTCCAAATTCCAAACACTTCTGACATCTCACGTGTTGCTTGTTTGCCTCCCTAAGGAAATACAGAAAAGTACTTTCAGCCAAACGTCTTTCACTGAAAAATCAACCATAGTGTGCAAGAAATGTGATGGCACTTTCAGGATATTAAACTGCAGATATGGTTTCATTTGCTTATGTCCTCACTATCATGGTTCAAATCTGAGGTAGTAAACCTTCCTCCATGTTTCAACAAGTCTCTGTACAGGTGTAAAAGCATTCATCTAAATCACACACTCTATGAAGACCTTACACTGCTTACCAAAATGTGGAGGATATTCCTAATTCCACTTTCAATTATCAGTTCTATAGTGGGCCCCAGATTTTGGAGAGCCTTTAGAAAGATGCCCCAGAGTACCCGAAAAAGTGCTTCTTCCAATTACCCTCCTCCACATCTGTTACTGAGGGAGAGGACAGCCAGAGACTGCTGCTGATCGTCACAGAAGATGACACGGATTGCTTGCTGCCATCACTTTTTGTTCCCATGTCCATCCATCCAGGCCATTGAAAAGGACTCACTCAAGTGTCAGGTTAAGGATTCTGATGCCTTAACATTTCCTTAAGAACCCTACAGAACTTTATAGACCTCTAGGGAAAAATGAGAAGCCTGTGTTCATCACAATTGGCACTTATTCCAAAATAGAGTTAATTCCAGAATGAAACAAAACAGTCATTTCCAATCATATAAAATTCATCTGAGTATCAAAGTACAGTGGTGCCTCGCTTAGTGATGTTAATTCATTCCAAAAAAGTCGCTTCTAAGCGATTTCATCGCTAAGCGAAACACGGTTTCCCATTAAAATGCATTGAAAACCAGATAATCCGTTCCAATAGGAACGAATTGCCGTTCTTAAGCAAAAATCGCCATAGGAAACATCACTAAGCGAAACGCAGTTCCCCAATTGAAATGCATTGAAACTTATTCAATGCATCTCAATAGGGGGAAAAAATACAACAACAAATTAAAAAAGAGTCAGAACAAAGTCAAATTTGGTTAACAAAGGGTTTATTAAGTGTACTTTATGATTTCAAACATTTTAAACAGTAAACTTTAACTTTATAAATAACAGAAAAACATTTAAAAAACAGCAAACATGATGCTCTTTAAACCATTGTTAAGCGAAACAGGGGACCCAAAATTTAATCACTATGCGAAGCATGGTTCCAACCATCGCTAAGCGAAAATTGCCCATAGGGACCATCGCTAAACAAAGCGCAAAAATGCTCCGAAAAAGTCATTGCTAAGCAATTTCATCGTTAAACGGAGTGCCCGTTAAGCGAGGCACCACTGTATAAGTCTTTTCATTGTTGTAATAATTCCAGGCAATATCAACTTGTCTAATTTTGCAAGCTTTATTTATCTATGTACGTAGGTTCTATGTTCTATATACACAAAGTTCTTCAAAAAGTAAAAAGTTAAAACATATTGAAAACATTATTTCAATTATGAGTTAAACTCTAGGAACAAATACTTAAAAAAATATGAACACTAAGCTTAAATGTTGTAGGCAAATACTTAAGTCAAAAATGTATTTCAGTCATGAACTTTTAACTATAAAAGTCACAGAAAATAACTTCAATAATATTTGAATAAAAAAACATAAAGGAGCTTATAGCCTAAAAGAGGCACAATCAAAAACACTAGGAATACATATCTTAAAATATCAGACTTGTTAAAATTAAAAATCTTTGAAAGTCAAATAAATTACTTAGCCTTTAGACTATCTAGGCAAACATGAAAAATTATTCTCAGTGCTCACCCAGCCAAATCAGTTTGAATCTATGGAGGCAAAACTATAACTATTGTTGCCTTCACCCTAATCAGTCAATAATCCTTTCTCCAGGGACCTGGTATACCAAGGAAATTTTTCAATAGGAAAACCTAGTGTTCTTGAACCTACTGTAACTTCAAGGGTTTATAACTTAAAATCTGGCAAGCTGCCACTATGTCAATAACATAATTGTTTTGACTATAACTTCTGCAAAGCCTGGAGTGCTAAGGGTCTAGCATTCCTGGAATGCTAGAAAACTGTAAAATCGGAATACAGTATATTGGCACTACACCAAGATATTGACACTACAAAGAGTGCATGGCAGGGGGCCTGGAAACATCCCCTCCATATTTACACACTGTGATATAAACATGTTCAACTATCAGGATTGTTATGAAACAGCAACCTTACTTGGCTACTTCTTTTGCAAAGACTATAGTAAACTATTATTCAAGCCTCCATTTTAAAAGCACTTTCATTTTCAGGGCTACTCTTTTTAGTGTTCATTATTTTAACATTCTATAACCATAACATTTCATGTCTTGACACAAGAACACTTATTCACCCCACACAGTTACTTCCCCCTTTCAACTTACCAATGACCAAACTGGCATTGCCTATACCTAGAAAACTCTGAAAAAATTTGCTATAGAAAGCAAAGCATGCTGCTTATATACCGCTGCACATTGCCCCGTCAGCGAGCTGGGTACTCATTTTAGCAACCTCAGAAGGATAGAAGACCGGGTTGTGAGAACAGTTTTGGCTGCAGTACAGCAGTTTAACCACTGTGCCACAAGGCTCCTCCACCACACCACGAGGCTCCTAAACCAGTATTGACTTGAAGGCACATTATTATTATTATTAAGCCTAAATATTTGAAAATCAGCCTAATGATTGGCTCTCATCCAAGTTTTAAAGCATCTTTTCCAGTACTGGATGACTTTAGCCCATCCTTTCCTGCAAGACGCATCCTTGTATCTGTGGGTCAATTTGTTTACTCTTTGTAGCAGATGACACTTTGACACTTCAGAAAAACTCAGTACTGTAGTTGTTCAAGACTTAGGATGGATGATTGCTTTATCTACTATGTCTTCCTGTTGTCTCTTTGACCTGACCTAGGTACTCCTCATTAAAAGGAATGACGAATATGAGGATGCTTAATAAACTAAGTAGGTGTCAGGGCTTGAAGCATCTGGCATATCTCTTCATTGCTCAATCGATAAGACATCTGGATAACAATGGTTCAAAAGATACTTACAGATTTTAACCAATCCAGTGGCAGAGGTCTTTTAACCCTTCCAGCATATGATCCCTGCCCTTTAAAACTTATGAGTGTCCTGGGAGGTTGAAATGCTCTGAAATACACAATGTCAGCCACAATGTCAGTAGTTTATTTACTTGTTCATCCTCTGATTTGATTTATACCTTCTTCTTCCAACAGCAGCTCTCTGTGTACACAGGACAAACAAGACAATGTATGTTCAAAATAATGAACGGATACAAAAATGAATGGAAACAAACCTGATATTAAGGGTGACAACACAGACAAATCAGTTTCAGAACACTTCAACCTCCCAGGACACTCCTTTACAAATCTCAAAGTCACTACTGTAAAATAGAAAGAATTACTAAGGGGAGGAGAGAGCAGAAATTGGCTGCATAAAAAAATTCCAGTGTAAGGGTGAAAATAAAGATCAAGGCTTCTTAGCGCACTATATATATATTAATAACAGCTTTCTGTAATGTCTTATGGATATAAAACAGTTGCCTTCTTTGACTGATTCCGACTTCCCTCCAAGCAACATCTCTCAGCATTCCTGTGATAACCCAATCTACCTGGCATTCATTTTTGTCATCCTCACTATAGCCTACAATCAACATCTTGATGGTCCTATTCCTGTGTGAATGATATAGTGCCAAAAACAATTACAAGTACAAATGCTAAAATAAGATATAATTATAGACTTCCCAGTGTTACAAATACTGTAATGCAAAATTTTGTCCCCAGAGAGAAAAACTTTCATCCTGATACAGATTAAAAGTTCTCCAGTTATATATGCTTATTTTATAGAAACATATTTGGTTTCACAATACAAGAAATAAGAGATAAGAGAAAGCTATTATGGTATTTCCCTAAGTGATCGTTTAAAAATACTGGGACTGACCATTGGTCCTACTACTCTCTACCATTGATACTGACTGGCAGCAGCTATCCATTGTTTTGCACACGATTCTTTCATATCCTAAACTGGAAATACTAGAGGTTGAAGCTCTCTGGTGTTTTGCTTGCAAACGTGCTGTATCACTGAGCAATCACCCTCCTTAGTTCAATACTAGTAGTGCACGCTGTCAGAATTTCAAGGTGGTATATAAAATTTTTTCTCAAAAATGTTCTTGAAAATATACAAAATACATGTAAGAAGAAACTGAAGGGCACAGATCAAATATGCCTACAGAAGATATCATGAATCACTGCCAAATTCCAACTCCTGTGTTCCTGCTCAGTCACACAAATTTGCTTTATAACTCCTTCTACATCTCAACCTCGGGAAGTGATGCAAGGGGGGATAAAGAGGGATCAAACACCCTTTCGGAGTTACTGCAGATCTGCTATTCCAGCTAGACATGTTTCAGATAAAGATATGGATGTAAAGATACCACAGGATGCTACTTGTGTGCAGCTATTGTTAGATTTAAAAAATACTCTGTATATATTAGTTTATAAGCATATATCTGGTGGATATACATTAAGTAAAACACAAACACTCCTAGGATTTCACAAAGACTATATTCAAAACCCAAGAAAATTAGGAAAGTATTGAAAAATGGGTCAGATGATTAAAATGTGTATCTACTGCAACATTTTTGATAAAGATATTTATTTAGTATGTCACCTTATATAAGGATGACCTGCTTCCTTCTGACACTACGATAGGAAAAGTGTCATATTTCAAGTGTTGGACAGACAATCTCAGGACTTCTCACCACAAGCTATGCTGGCCAGAGGATGGTACTTTTACTACCCCTGAAGTAGAAGTGGGTATACCACTTCTTATGCAACTGTACTTTATTCAGATTACACTAGTAATGCTTATAGATGGTTCTTCAAAGCGAACAAACTTAGAATCCCCTCATACTCTTTCTTCCTTTATTAAAGCTAATACTGTACTAAAATTACAGTTTTCAGCTTTTAAAAATTTAAAAATTTGTTCTCCCTATATATACTTCAAAGGCATTGGCTTAT